GGCATTTCTGATTTCAATGAAATGAATTTTCCGTAGTCTTCATTAAATTTTCACCGATACCCTAGAAAGACATTAACATCAACTCTTGATCATCATTACGGTTTGACAATGTTGTCAGCAACACCATTGAAACATTTTGTGTGGATTATAATGTTCTTGAATGTTTCCAGCGGATTGATCATAACAACTCGTCTCAATAGATTCGAAATCGAATTTGAAAGGTATTTGACGAAGTTTAAAACATGTAACTTTACTAGAGAGTCAAGCTGCATGTTCATACAGAGATCAACCAGCTCGAAAGAAATTGAAACTGCTTTTGTGAAGTACAATAAGGACTGTAGTTCACTAATAGTATCTCAAGGAAATGTAGTTATCGACAAAAATATGTTATTTAAAATTCAACATTTTTTTGTTTTTGTTGCTTCTGTTGAGGAACTGATGAACCATACGATGAAACTTTTCGAAAATTCACTTTGGAATTCAAGGACCAAGGCATACTTTGTCATCACATCTGAAGTAGTCGATATCAACACACTGACCTCTATCCTACCGAGCATCTGGTCTACAAAAATGATTAATTTCGTTGTTATATCAGTAACTACAAGATATCAAGTGCATACATATAATGCTTATGAAAAAAGTCCCAAAATTCGTATTCCAAGATCTCAATTGTTCTGTGAAAGACACTTTCCCGATAAAATGAAAAATCTCAACGGAAATCCCTTGCGAGCTTCAATCAATGACCAAATACCCTACACAGTTAAGGAAAATGGAGAATTTACCGGCAGCGAAATTCAAATATACCGACTTCTCGTTTACACATTGAAAGCAAGTGCACATCTAATTGAAAAACCATCTGTAAATGAATCCATAGAAGCACTACTGAATAACGAGGTTGATATATTTCTTTTGAGGATTCTTAATGTAAGTGATTCTTTTCATCCTTATTTTTGTAAAACAAGAAATTGATGTCTAACAAACTTGATATCAATTGGAAGTGTTCCGATATTTTGAGGTTAGGATTCATATCCATAACATTTTATTTTCAATCACTATGTATGGAATATTGCAAATCAATTCAAATTCTATGATACTTTGACCCAAAATTACTTTCACGTATTAGCATTGTTCAAAAGACAGTAATCATGAAACATTAATAAGTAGCAATTTTCTTCTAGTTATCTTTTACATTTGGGAAAGAAAGGTTTCAGTTTTCTACTTCTCCATCTTTATATAAAAAAATGTGTCAAATTTACAAAAAAAGAATACAATATATTTCACAATGAACTCCCACATTTTTTATATGAAGATAAAGAAATTACCAGCCAAAACGTTTTTTCCCAAAAATTGATCTCTCCTAAAAATATACCCATTTCAAT